GTATCTAATACAGATTAATAGCACCTATCAAAATACATAGTTCAAGGATTTTCTTCTCAGTGGAATCAACTAGAACTACAAGAGCCAATAGCATAAAGGTATAATTTATTGCACCTTTAGCCACTAATTAGCGGCGTTCGCCGAAAAGTTTAAATCCGTCAAGATATAAATCAATTGAAGTTTGGTTATGAACCTTTATTAAATTATTGATTATACATACACTGTCATATATATATATATATATATATATATATATATATATATATATATATATATATATATATATATATATATATATATATATATATATATATCAATTATGTAGTGCAGTTTAATTTATATTGCAATGAATCATTCATACAAAAAGTAAATTCGTAAAGTTAATGAGACAAAATATCGAATTCACGTCGCTAACTAAATTTTAAAAAATCATTAACCGATTAAACACTCGATATTTGCACGTCGGATAATTTTCCTCTCTCTCATAAATATGTATATATATATATATATATATATATATATATATATATATATATATATATATATATATGTCTTGCCTTATAGTTAACAGTCTGAGGAATGAAATGAATTTGTATTCAGAACCACTCACTTTGGAATTGCGTTTTTTGAATCAAGTGGCTATAACGACTTTAGTTTCAAGGGCATTTAAACACGTGCGCTCTTCGAGTGATATTCATTTCATTTGATGCCGTCCTTTGATATGAAAGCCTTCCAAGATTTGTAATTTTTGGTCTCTTGCATTCTCATTTTACTATAGTATTGTCGACTCACGTTGACAGAAATTCAAAATAGCGCCAGGTATTTCCGTTCTCTTTGACGTGATATAGACTGATTATATTGAATCAATTACTAGGTCTGCAGCTAGAAAATTTGGTTCACTGTGTTGTACTAGACAATTTTTCTCCCCAGAAACTGTATAGTATATTTATAAGTCTACTACTACTCGTCCTTGATTTGATTATTGCCGCCACATCTGGTCTGATGCGTTTCTATATATTTAGAGATACATGATAAAATCCAAAGAACAATCTAAAATTCACCTCGGCTTCAGTCACTTTTCCACCGTTGTAGCGTAGTTTGCTTGTACCTTTTCTATAAGTACTTTCATACTATTGTTCTGATGATTCTCTCTCTATGGTATGCAGAATTTATAAATTTAAGCGCTATGCAAAATTGGCCACAAAGTCTTACCATTTTGTATTTGAAATCGCTTTAAAGCCGTAAGTTCTATTCTAATATTTTCTTCCCATTTGTGAAACTCTCTTCGTATTATGGCTTCCCAGTCAATTTTGATCTTCAAAAATTTAAATTATCTTCTTAATTCCTGTTCCTTTATTCTTACCTCTTATTAGTAATATTTTATTTTTCTTATATGCTCTCACACTAAACAACCTCTTGCATTTAGTTGCTGTATTGACTTGCTTGGAGTGGAATGATAAAAAAAATCTATTTTCAGTTTAAAAAGATTACCCGTTTACTACAGGGAAATAATTTTATAGCTTGCCTGAGTATTTTGCATGCATTTTATTTTTGATTTGTATTTGATTTGGTTAGGTTCAAATTATCCAGATTTATCGATACGAGTTCGTTGCACTTTTTATTATTTTGTACACAGATTTTTTTTTTTTTGTTACCTGGGTCGACATGAACTTTTGAAAAGCTGGCAGCCATATATTTTTTTAAAGTTTCCGTGTATAAAAACAGACAAGCCACCACCATACGTATGACGTCAGAGTGACGTAATTCTAACTCACATTTCGACCAATCAGATAGTTGTAAGCTGATCGAACGTTCAACCGGACAGCAAAATATTCAGTTCTCATCAATCGATTATTAGTTAAATACACGTCTAATTTGTCTTCTTTAACTTTTAAAGATCTTTCCCATTTTCCTTATTCTTTTGATGTTATCTGTTTATCTCTTTCTTGTTTCGTAATCATTGCTCTCAATGACGTTGATTCGAAAACACAGCGGCCATCTTATGCGTTATTGTGAATTTAACAACAATATAAAGATAGTAACTATGATATAAATAACAAGAAAATAATGCAAGTAAACTCGACAAAATTAGACTGATTAATTTGATTAAAATTGTTTCAAGAAAATGATATTTGCAGAAAAAAATATTTAAGGAAAGGTCAAATGTTAGCCCGGGGTTTATCCAAGAGACAAGAGTCGATCATTTCAAAAACAGGAAGCAACACAAGAAACATAGTTGGGACCAAACAAGTGGTCGCTTCCGGATATAGTCGATCATGGCTCTCCACAATTTTCTATCTCTTGAGAATCTTAGCAGTTTCTCTCGCTTTGCAAAGGCCCTCAATCTCTTGTCAGGTCAGGTGGTTCACTGTCTTTCTCTGTCTCTTTGCCATCAGTATACCTCGTGAAGGTTAAGTTTTCCAAGCCCTCTTTCCTCATTGTGTGTCCAAGTAATTTCAGCTATTTTCCCCGATTTCGAATGTCTTCTCCCCGATGTCATTTTCTTTAAAGCATCCTTGTTGCTTACTCGCCACTGTTGTTCATGATGACGGTCGTCTTCGAGTATAGAATCCAGAGGTTAGCAGTGAATATTTCGAAGACAGTAGGAAAGCGTTGTTCAGGTTAGCAGTGGATATTTTGGTAAAAGTAGCAGAGCGTAGTTCGTCCTTCTGTTTCTCTTCGCCTGACAAGCTGGAACTGGACATTCGCGTAGAGTGAATAAAAATGGCCACCTTTATACACGACGGATTGAATGTTCTACGTCTTCTGATTGGTTAACCTTCTATTGGTGGGCTATAAAATGAGTCAAGTCATTTGAGCTAACTCACTAGTACATAGATATACACAAAAACTGCAACAGCCACGTCTATGGAATTTTCATTCTCCTTTTGCTGTATTAACTTCTTTCCTCATCCATGGCGAAATTGTCCCGGATTCACTGTCATATAAGAGGTTCATATCACATAACAATCTAGCACACTTTTCTTTTTCTTCTGTCGTAGTATCTTCCTTCTAATGACTCTATTATAGACTCTTCCACTTACTATAAAGTCGTAGGAAAAGTAAGCCTCGGAGGAACGGTGCTATATCCCGTTCGGCTGTCAAACTCGCTGCCTCACCGAATGGTAAAGTTTCGTCCGGGGAGATAGACAAGCTTTGAACCCGTTTATACGGGTTCGAAGGGAATATTTTGGCCGAGCCTACGTGCTCGGTGAAACCACGGTAAACTTGGCCTTGTGCCATATACGACCCACAGGTTTGGGCGTTAAATATAACGGTGCTATAGCCCGTTTGGCTGTCAAACTCTCCGCCGAGGTGGAGAGGAACCCAGGACGAAGCTTTGCCGAAGGGTAAAGTTTCGTTTGGGGAGGTAGACGGACCCTACACCTGTTTATACGTGTTCGAAGGGAATATTTTTGGCCGAGACTACGTGCTCGGAGAACCCACGATAAAATCGGCCTTGAGCCACATACGACCCACGGTGGGGGGCGTAAATATAACGGTGATACAGACTGTTCATTACTGTCAAACTTTCTGCCTTGAGCAGAGAGGAACCCGGACGAGGCTTTACCGAAGGGCAAAGTATGATCCGGGGAGGTAGACAGACTCTTAACCCGTTTATACGGGTTCGAAGGGAATATTTTTGGCCGAGCCTAGGGGCTCGGAAAACCCACGATAAACTCGGCCCTTGTGCCACATACGATCCATGTGGGGGCCGTTAAAATATAATGGTGATACAGACTGTTTTTTGGCCGAGCTTACGGGGCTCGGATGACCCACGTTAAACTTAGCCTTGTTTCACATATATCGCTCGTGGGGGTTCTATTAACGGTGATATAGACTTTTCTATCGAGACTGTTCGTAGCTCCTGTCTCTTGGCAGAGAGGGACCCGGGCGAGGCTGTGCCGAAGGGCAGAGTTTCATCCGGAGAGGTGGACAGACCCGAACCCGTTTATGCGGGTTCTATGAGGAATTTTTGGCCGAGCCTACGGGCTCAAATGACGCACGTTAAACTCGGCCATGTGTCACATATATCCATCGTGGGGGGGGGGGCTCTTAAATATTGACGGTTATATTGGCTGAACGCTGGTCAATCGATACACACTCGCAAGTCGTGTAACACACTTCTGTTGTATTTACTGTTCAATACACTATTTATTTGAAACCTCTTGTTTTGTTATTTCTTAACCATTTATATGGTCACAACAGTCTCTCACGAAATATTCCCGTTTTTCAGCACCCCACTAAGCTTTAGGAATGCCACTTTCGCTAGTCCAATATGTGTTCGGAATATGTGTTCTCTGTTAAAACGCTTTCCAGATATTTGAAATTCAGCACCAGCTTCATGTTTATATCTCCAACTGCTAACTCGCATCGCTTTGGTTAATTTAATTATCAATGACTGTTGGGTTCTTTAATACTGAAATGAACAAATCTCACTAATGACGCTGTGTGAGAAAATTTTTACTTCTTTGCTTTTTGTCAGTAAATGTTATTTCTTCTGTCTAGAAAGCAAAGAAATTATTATTCCCAACAAACTTTTCTTTTGTGGACTTATATTCCATTATATTCCAAACAGAATCTACTGCTGAAGGAGAAATTTCTAGAACTTTCTAGAAGTTCCAAGAACTTTCTAGAAGTTTCTAAAAGTTTCAAGAATTTCTAGAACTTTCTGGCTACTAAGTATCGTATAATGAAAACATAATTAAATGCCATATTGTCCCCCATTTGTGTGAAGGAGAGAATATTCACATTCGCCAGTTTTCCCAAAAGGAATACACAGATTTCAGAAAAATCATTATCCTAGTGACAATCGCAAAGTTTGAAAGAAATATTAGCCATTTATAATATTTATTTCAAGTTAGCACACAGAAAATAATATTTGCTCTCCAAGGACAAAATTCGTGTTACACAAGGTAATAAATAGAAAGACTATCTTGTGAGAGACATTTTTTGTCTCCGGAATCTATATTGCATATCTATAAGTCTACCATTCGTCC